ATAGCTCGTCATCCAAAAAACAAGATCAGGCAACCAGCTGATGACCACCCAAGAACGAAGCCTTTCAGCAAGATTGTGTAACCTTTTGCCCTTTCTCATGGAGACCTTTGCTATAAAAGCTTGTTATCCTCTGCATTAAATTGCACTCAGCATCCACTCCTCTTGTGTGTGAGTTGTCTGTTTGCCATCTCCCCACCTATTCCAGTTCCTCCACTAGGTGTCCTCCATCGTCCCGACAGCCGGTCTGTGGCAGGTGGCGCCCAACGTGGGGCATGAAGGAGTCTCTTCAGCCAAGGAACCTTGGGAGGTAAATATCTTTCTCTTTTCTTTTTACCTGGAATAGTTAATCTAATACTCGTTGGGTGCTGCAGGCCCCTCAGCTGCGTCTGGGAAAGATAACGAGTGAATCATGGGGAATTCATCTTCTAAGAATAAGGATATGTTTGTCTCTATTTTAAAACATATGCTAAAAGCACGAGGCCTTAAAGCCTCCACAGCTGCAGTGGGAGAATTTTATGATTTTGTATTACAAACTAATCCTTGGTTCCTGGAGGAAGGAAGCCTTTCTCTACAAGGTTGGAAAAAGGTAGGACGAGGGATAAAAAAGTTCTACCAAGCTCATGGCTCAGCAGCAGTCCCTATGACACAGGGACTTGCGTATGGCCATAAAAGAAACGCCTTTTCAAACATATGTAAAAAAGGTAACCAGAGGCTCAGGATTTAATCCTGGACAAAAAGTATGTCATAATTGTGGCAAACCAGGTCACCTTCAAAAGGAGTGTAAAGCTCAAAAGCAGCAGAAGGGATCAGGAAAAGCACCAGCCTTATGTCCTCGGTGTCAAAAAGGGAACCATTGGAAAAATGAATGCAAATCTAAGTTCCATAAAGACGGAACTCCTCTTCAAGAGGAAACAAAAAACGGACAGAGGGGCAACCTCTCAGCCCCTCCCCAAGAGAGGAACTAAAGCAAACTATTCATGACTTGCCTAGAGCCACTCCAGGGAGTGCTGGATTGGACGTGGCTGCCACTCAAGATCATATCATAACCCAAGATAATGGGGTTGTACTGATAGAGACAAACATAAAAGGAGAACTCTCTTTGGGAGTAATGGGCCTAATCATAGGCCGGAGTTCAAACTATAAAAAGAATTTTGAGGTTTTACCAAGAATAATAGACTCAGACAGTCCTACCACTATAAAGGTCATGATAAGGTCTCTAAAAGAGACTATTCAAGTTCATAAAGTGCAGAGGATAGCCCAAATACTTTTACTTTCATATCTAAAGTTGCCTAATCCCACACTGACTCAAAACAGAAAAGGAGGGTTTGGCACCACAGATACTGTAGCCTGGGTTCAGGAAATTACAGATAAAAGGCCTTACAAGGCCATTAAAGTCAATGGAAAACAAATGACAGGACTCTTAGACACAAGGGCTGACAGATCCTGTATAGCTGGAAAAGATTGGCCTACGGCCTGGCCAGTACAGGAGACTTATTCTTCCTTAATTGGATTAGGGATGGCTTCTAATGTAGCTCAGTCAGCTCAGAGACTCAAATGGGTATGTGAAGGGCAGCAAGGCCACTTCAAACCTTATGTTATCCCCAGCTTGCCCTTTTCTTTATGGGGCAGAGACCTCATGCAAGACATGAAGATACAAATATGACAAATAGACTCCTCATCGAAGGAGCAAAATTTTTCATAGGGGCCACTGAGGAACAGCTTTATGCTGACAAAATAATATGGAAAAGTGATGATCCTGTATGGATTAATCAGTGGCCCCTAACTCAAAAAAAGATTCAAGCCTTACAGGACTTAGTTCAAGAACAATTGAGTCAAGGAAGAATAGAAAAGACTACCAGTCCATGGAATACTCCAATTTTTGTAATAAAAAAGAAGTCAGGAAAATGGAGATTATTACAAGATCTAAGGGCAATTAATGAGACCATGCATGACATGGGAGCCCTTCAACCAGGTCTACCCTCTCCTGTTACAGTCCCATAGGGTAGATACATAATAATAATAGACTTACAGGATTGCTTTTTTACAATAAAATTACAACAGCTATTACAACAAAGAACGACAAAGGTATTTGTGGGGCACATCAGGGGGCATAGTAATCTCCCTGGACCTTTGTCTCAAGGGAACAAGTTTGCACACTTATTAACTAAGGGAAGTCATGTAATGTCAGCTTTAGAAGAAGCTCAGGAAAGTCATAGACTACATCATCAAAATGCTAATGCCTTAAGAAAGATGTTTCAAGTGTCCGGAGAACAGACAAGACTAATTATCAGGGAATGTGAGGCATGCCCAGAAGTTTTTCATCCACAAAAAATGGGAGTTAATCCTAGAGGCTTAAAGCCTAGATGGATGTTACCCATGTAACAGAATTTGGGAAACTCTCCTTTGTCCATGTTACTATAGATACTTATCCTCATGCTATGGTTGCTACAGCCCATTCTGGAGAGGCTGAAAAGATGTTATTCAACATTTGGTTAAAGCCTTTGTGGATTTAGGAATTCCTAAGGAAATAAAAACTGACAATGGACCAGCATACACCTCTTAAGCTTCTGCTAAATTTTGTGCACAATGGAAAATCGTGTACAAAACAGGGATTCCATATAATCCACAAGGCCAAACAATCATAAAACGGGCTCATCAGACCTTAAAAAATCAATTGACAAGAATTATACAAGGAGGAGGGAAGCAATACTCCCCCCATTACACTCTTAACCATGCTTTACTGGTTCTTAATCATTTCAATGCTGATGAACAAGGAATAACCCCGATGATGATACATTGGGGCATGGAGAAAACTACAACTTTTCCTTTAGTAAAATGGAAGGATCTACTCACTGGAACCTGGCATGGGCCAGACATCCTGTTAACATATGGGAGAGGCTATGCTTGTGTTTTCCCACAGGATGTGGAATCCCCCATTTGGGTCCCAAACAGACTCATCAGGCCTTTCTCGGGCCCAAAAAGAGCCAGAAAGAAAATGAAAATACATCAGGAGAGAAAACTGGGGCAAAAGATGAAGACTCTCTATCACCACCACAGGCTAATTCAATAAAAACCAAAACACCACCTACGTGGGGGCAGATCGAGAAGCTGGTTGAAAAGGCTTGGCACATTTTGTTAATGAGTTAAATAAGAATGTTTCTCTAGCATTAAAGAGCAGCAAATTATTGATCAAAAATTAGAAAGCAAACTAGAGGCTTTGGAGGCCTTTGAAGTTAGGGACTGAAGTCAATAATCTAAAAACCCAGCTGACAACTAGATGTCATCAATCATTTAAAGATATTTGTGTTACTCCATTGCCTTATAAGGAGAGCTTAGATTGGGAAGCTACCAAAGTGCATTTGCAAGGAATCTGGAAGGACAATAGCTTAACTCATGATATAGGACAGCTACAGGAAGACATCTCAGCCCTTAAGTCAAGCTCATTGGCAGAAGACTTACAGAGAGGATTAAAAAGTCTTAATCCTTTAGATTGGTGGCACTACTTGGTTACATTTGGAGTCATAATACTAATTGTTATATGTGTTCTTGTTGTCTTTCCAGTCCTCTTCAAACTAGTCTTCCGCTCCATCTCCTCTATAGGAGAAGAAATTTCTCTGGCACATCTATAAAATAAACAAGGGCAAATGCCACGCCTACTCCGGTAGAGTCTGCTTAGCATGGAACACCTGCTTTCAAACCAGAGAATGGGGCTTCACAGAAGCCTATCTCTGAGAATGGGACTTCACCGAAGTCTACCTCAGAGAATGGGGCTTCAAAGAGGCCTACCTCCTGGAAAGGCTGGCAAGCCCTGGGAAAGATGTGTTTCTGTTCCTGTTTTCTTTTCTTCACTGTATAGGAGTGCCTATTAATCTTTTACTGTTCCTGCTGCTCATTGCACTTACTCATGCTCAACGTTCCCTTATTCAAGGCTCTTTCTTAAAAGTGATGACGACTCCAACATCTGATGAGTGCCTTGCAACAAGATTGTGTAACCTTTTGCCCTTTCTCATGGAGACCTTTGCTATAAAAGCTTGTTATCCTCTGCATTAAATCGCACTCAGCATCCACTCCTCTTGTGTGTGAGTTGTCTGTTTGCCATCTCCCCACCTATTCCAGTTCCTCCACTAGGTGTCCTCCGTTGTCCCGACAGAGCCGGTCCAAGCAAGTTACTTTCTTTAATTTGATCATAAGTAATAAAGTGGAACTGTATTAGTAACATCTGCGCTTTCTACTATTAGGAATACAGTATATCACATGATGCTGCAATTATCCATGTATTACAAAAGGTTATTCAATCTCATCATTACATTAAAATGATAGTGATTAGGTCAACTACTAGGTATTGCTATTTAATATTTTAAATAGAAGAGGTATGTATTTCCATATAATTAAAATATATCAGAATTTAATAATATCACAATTATTGTATAAAATATAATACTATAATGGTATATTTTATAACTGTAATTCAATATAATTGATTTCTCTTATTACTCTTACTCTTACATATTTTAAACAAAACTTTTACATTTTTTGAATGAAAATCCCATAGATTACAAAATGGTTCCTTCCATGTACCAACTAACCAAACAAACAAAACAGTAAGACCCCTCCTCCCATCCTAGAACTTATCACGATGTATCTTTCACTAATTTAGATAAATATTACTGTTTCCATTTATCAGTCAGCCTCTAGGGAACAGAAATTCTCATAATCTTATTTAATATCATCTTCTCAGTTCAAGGAACATATACCAGCATTACTCACCATTTGTTGTTTGTTGTAGATTCAAAGCCCAGTTAGCTTATTGAAAATGTACTTTAATATTTTGTTCTGTGGTCTAAGGATCTTGACTTCCTAACACACTGATCTTTGGAGATATATCCTAGAGGACTTCCAACTCCATGCTGCTATAGACAGATGATAGCATTCCATCCTTCCCTCAGTATCAAGAAAGATGCAGATAATCAACACAATGATAATTTTGTTTAACTTCTCAGCAACTGAGGCCACAGGCCAACCATACACCAACCCAGACAGAAGATCAGCAGGAACATAAGTACTGACTCACTTCTGAAGGGAGAGCGAGAAAAAAAAAACTGAGACTTCCATGCAGATGGGTAAGAATAATTTAGCTCATTTTCCTTTCATCCTCCATCCCTGCCGAACAGGCAGAAGCCCTTTCCACTGAGCCTGTAAACACCGTGTTCCAGGGTTGGCATCGCAGGTAAAACTAGCAATCCTGCATGTCACATGGTCCCTCTCATTGCATTTAAGGTTTTAAGATTAATTGCTAAAGGTTGAATGTGGGCTAGTATGAGACTAGAATTTCCGGGAGTGTAGGCATAAAGAGAGTTTGTACCCACTTGCTGGCTCTTCTCCATCGCCTCCCCTGAGTTCTCTTGAGAAATCTTGAGGTTGGGCAGACGTCTAGAGCGCCTTCCACCCGGGTGCAGGCCTGAGGGAAAGGAGAAGGCCACTTGAGAGGAAATGCACAAAACTTTGCTGTGCAATTTCCTCCTAAGAATGGTCTCCTCAAGCAGGGGGCAGAGCAGCAAGCCCTGTGACTTCTGGGCACACGGGAACATCCGCAGTGGGGGAAGAGAAAAGCAACAAGCCAGAGTTTCTTCAGGAATGGGCAGAAAAGTGTCCTAGGGGACAGGCAGGAAACTGGCCTGGGCCTAGACTGCTAGAGACTGGCCTAATGCCAGAAGGGGACACGATTACTGAGAAAGAGTCTGCCTCCCTCCTACACACACAAACAATCAGAAGACACCCTTAATGCTGAAGCTGAGCCAAAATAACGAATGGTTCCATTTTATCTCCACAGTAGGCCAGCTGCCCCAATTGCAGGACAGCAGCAAGGTATCCTGGGAGAAGAGGCAAGAGTATGAAGATTCTTCCGAGACACAGGTACACAAGGAAGGGCTAGGCCAAGGATGAATCAGGAAACCTCTTTGTTACAATCATGACTGCCCTAACCACCATGCAGCCTGGGAGAATTTGAACCCCATACTTAATTGAAGTTAGCCAACTCAGCTTCACCTCCCTGCCCCATGAATGATTTAGGAGAAGATGTATACATGCACCTTGTCATAAATTGCTCTCAACTTTATACCTGACAAGCCACATGTGTGTGTATTTGTTCCCAAATAAAAATCACATTTTCTCATTGTAATGGAGATACCTAATTATGCTCACAACAGATACTTTGTGTGTGTGTGTGTGTGTGTATGTGTGTGTGTGCGTGTGCGTGTGTGTGTGTGCATGCATGCATGTACGTGCCAGGACTAGGACTTGAAATGGTGATGCCCACTGCCTTTAATGCTAGCGTCATACCACTTGAGCCACACCTCCACTTCTAGCTTTTTGTTGGTTAATTGGAGCCGAGAGTCTCATGGACTTTTCTGCCTGGGCTGGCCTTGAACTGCAGTTCTTAGATCCCCGCCTCCTGAGTAGCTAGGATTACAGGCAGGAGCCACCAGTGCCCAGCTCAACTGTAGTTTGAGTCTAGTACTGAACTTTACAGACCGGCCTGCTTTCTACTGTGCAGGTGTTTGAAAAGTTTTAAAGGAACTTATTTTTTCTTTACCTTTCTCTATCTCAGTCCTCCCTGAGAGAAACATCAAGAATATCTTTACAGCTTCAGAGAAGATTCTGATGCTCCTATCCTTGCCCTGCTGGCCACAGGGGCAAAGGAAGGATTGACCAGTACTGCAGGAATACAGTTTAGGCATGCATTAGGAAATAAGCCAGCCCAAGGCCAGACGAAGGCCTCCTTCCTCTGTGTCATCTGGAAGGTCATGCTTCTGGGTTTTTAAGGAAAGTCCTCTATCCCACACCCCCACTGTAGAAATGCAGCTTTGAAGATAGCTCATAGAGCCCTTGTGTGGCCTGGCAAATTTCATAAGCATTTACTTGCTCTTTTTTTCCCAAACCTAGCTTTGATTATTTGTGACTTGGCATTGAGTTCAGGGAACTAAATTTCCAGTATCCTATACTAATTTACACAGGATGTAATGAAAGGTAAGCATAGCGAGAGAAGATGTGAAATCAATAAATTTTATTTCTCTATGATTTCATGATAGGCAATTTTATGAATATTTAACCTTTGTAATTCAAGTCGTATTTATGGTCTATTATGTGGCATTTACGCTCACCACCTCAGGTCTGGTCCTGTGAAATCAAACATAAAGCTGAGTTTTATTGTAGGTATACAAAACACCTTTGCCACTCTGATCCTGCTTTTATGATAGTGAAATTATCCTAACATACCTTTCTTTCTGTATTGGAAAAACACAGCAAATGAAATGTCTTTTTAAGGAAAATCCAGAAATGTGCACTCCCCTGTAAAACATCTTTCAACCAATTTGATGATGAGTATTTGGAAATAATAACTTTCCCCAATAACATCTCCAGTTACATTGTTATAACCTTACTACATCTGGGTGACATTTTATCAAGGATGTGGATCCCCAAAGTGTCCAAAATTTGAAAGTTTTATGAAGATGATTTATGAATTTCATCCCACTCATAGTTATGCTTTGCATGACTCATATCATCCTTATGCAAGGATATCAGTATTAAAAATGAAGACTGGAAAAAAACAGCTTCCAGAAACATGCAAAGGGGCATGCACTTTTTTTTTTTTAAGTCAGTTGTGGGGCTTGAACTCTGGCCCTGGACACTGTCCCTGAGCTCTTCAGCTCAAGGTGAGTGTTCTACCACTTGAGCCACAGTACCACTTTCGGTTTTCTGGTAGTTAATTGGAGATAACAGACTTTCCTGCCTGGGCTGGCTTTGAACTGTGATCCTCAGATCTCAGCCTCCTGAGTAGGTAGGATTACAGGAATGAGCCACCAGCGCCAGGCTTACACGATTGTTTTTTTAAGTCCTAGTTGTAGGCCTTGATTGCAGCCTAGTCACTGTCTCCTCCCCCCTCCCCCTCAAGGCTAGCACTCTTATCACTTGAGCCACAACTCCACTTCCAGCTATATTTTTCCCCCTCAGTCATGGGGTCTTGAACTCTTTGGCCTGGGCGCTGTCCCTCAGCTCTTCAGCTCAAGGCTGGCGCTCTACCACTTGAGCCACAGCGCTGCTTCCGGCTTTTTCTGCTTATGTGGTGCTGAGGATGAGAGATAAAAGTTTCACGAGTTTCACCGACTTTCCTGCTTGTGCTGGCTTCAAACCAAGATCCTCAGATCTCAGCCTCCTAACTTGCTGGGATTATAGACCCAAGCCACTGGTGCCCAGCAGGGCATGCACTTTTTAAACCATCCAGCAATTTCTCTGAAGCCCACACAAGTTAACATCAAGCATCAATAGGGCAGGACATGGAGAACCGGAACTGATTACTGGAGTCAGTGTAGGAGGAAGGCAGTTCAACACCTGACAAGAATTTATAATCGGGGGTTAGCAAAATAGTGTGTAGGTAGCCAGTGTCCAGGGAAAAGTCACAGTCAGAATCTAAAGATTCCGAGAAAAGCTAAGATTAAAGTTGAAACACTTAATGCACCAGGAGCTTGGCTTGCACTAAAACATGTGTCTTCAGATAATCTGGAGATTATACTTTTTGTTTTGCAAGTAAGAAAATTGAGCAAATCTCGGAGTCAGGAGTTGAATCTACAACTTTCTAAATTGTGGTGTCTACTTTCTCCACCCTAACCTGCATTTTGGGGTGTTTCCCAAGGCCATTTCCTAGTCATCTGAAACTCTCATTTACCTCCTCAGATAGCTACTTTAAGGCAAAGATAGATAGGTTAGGTGGGGGGAAAGGAGAAATGAAAAATAATAAAAAGTATCAATAAAGGCCAGACTAGGAACTACAACTGAACATTATTCAACTACCCACAGCTGTATAGGTAAGGGTGTAGATCCTGACCCACAGAGTGACTGAACTGGTTTTTATTTTCTAGAACTTGAAGAAATCTTTCTGAGAGTTTTAAACTTGTTCTTTTCATTTTTATAGGTGGTAGTATACACACATTTGTTGTTGTTGTTGTTTTGGTCGGATGTGGAGCTTAAACTCTGGGCTTGGTCCTGTCCCTGAGCTCTTTAGCTCAAGGCAGGTGCCACACAATGTTTTAAAATAAAAAATAATGATAAAAAATAATGATAACGAACTGTACGTGGTTCTCTTAAGTTACTGATATGGGTCTTAATCTGGAATATATTTCTAAGTATTAGTTCAACTGGAGATGACTCATGAATGAAAACATGCTATGAAATGTGTCCCTAAATTTGTTGACACTCTTCTCAAGAAGTATAACTTAATTCCTCTCCTTAATGGGGCCAGATTCTACTTCCTTCTAACAAATGTAATGTGGTAGAACTGATGGTGCGTAAGTCAGTCAAAAAGATAATTGCAGTTTTCTCTTTGCTTTTTCTCGCTTGCTTTGGGGGAGAACCAGCTGTGACATTATGAAGATACTCGAGCAGTGTGGCAAGGTCTATATTGTAAGGAACTAAAGTCTTTTGTTAACAGGTAACAGATAGCAAAGAACTGAGACCTGACAGCAGTAGGATGAGTGTGCCTCCTTGGAAGTGGATTTTCTAACCATAGTGAAGAGCTCAGGATGAGTGTATCCCCAGCTACCATCTTTTTTTTTTTTTTGGTCGTTCGTGGGGCCTGAACTCTGGGCCTGGGCGCTGTCCCTTAGCTCTTCAGCTCAAGGCTAGTGCTCTGCCACTAGAGCCACAGTACCACTTCTGGCTTTTTTTTCTGCTTATGTGGTGCTGAGGAATCGAACCCAGGGCCTCAAGCATGCGAGGTAAGTGCTCTTCCACTGAGCCACCTTCCCGCCCCTCCTCCCCAGCTGCCATCTTGACCTCATTAGAAAAGCTGAGCCAGTTACTCATCTAAGCTGTCCAGTCCATTCTAGTTTGCATCTACACAAACTGGGAGATAACAAATGCTGATTTTAACCATTAAGTTAAACAGCAGTCACAAATGCATGCGAGATCCAGAAATGAGAGATCCAGTTCTTAAGAGTTACATGCACAGGGCTGGGAAGGTGGCTCAGTGGTAGAGCACTTGCCTTGCATGCATGAGGCCCTGGGTTCGATTCCTCAGCACCACATAAGCAAAAAGAAAAAAGCCAGAAGTGGTGCTGTGTCTCAAGTGATAGAGCGCTAACCTTGAGCTGAAGAGCTGAGGGACAGTGCCCAGGCCCAGAGTTCAGGCCCCACGACTGGATCAAAAAAAAAAAAAAGAGTTACATGCACAAAAATAGTCCAACACAAAGAAATTGTGATAATGATAAAACTGAAGTTAAGTGCGCACACGAAAAACAGAGGCCCAACCTAGATTAGCGGGAAGAGTGTTCAGGAAGTTTATTCAAAATGATGTTTGAATAACTCTAGGGCAGATGGATAGTAAGCTTAGTATTTAGATATTGCCCCTCAACTCCAAATTACTTTTCCGTATTCTACTTTGTGATTCTAGGGCTGGGCCTGTGCCATTTGGAGTATGACGGAGAAGCTTCAAAGACTTGACACTTCAAAGACTTTTGTTTTTTAATTTTTTATTGTTAATATAAAGGTGATGGCTCTGAGGGAAAGACTTTTCTGGCCCGTTTACTTCTCCTGCTGCTAACGAAGGCCACCGTGTTAGTGAGAGCTCTGAAGAGAAAAATAGTCACAGTGAAATGTAAGATGTGGTCAAAGCATCCAGGGAAAGGAAACAGGCTGGAAGGATCAGTGTGAATGGCTGAGGACTGGCCCTTCACAAATATCAGTAAATAGTTTATCAGCGGGCAACAGATATTATAAATATAAAATCAGACTATTAGGGCAGGATATCCGGAAGTCTGCCCTTCCTCCTCCCTGATCATAATGGGTTACCCTTGCCATCCGCATGACATTGGAACTCCCAAGTAGGGAGTCCAACTAATGAGGCACAATCTTATTTAACTTTTTCTTAAAAAAAAACCCTATCCTTTCTATTTCATTATTTCTCTTTCACTGTTTTCTTTTTTCATTTCACTTTTTATTATCTTTAAGTAATCGTTGTACAAAGGGGTTTCAGTGTCTGCCTAAGGGAACAGTGCGTCCTGATCATTGTCACAACCCTTCCATCCTCCTCCCCGCCCCCACTCCCTCCTAACCCCTCCCAGTCAGTCCTGTTGTCACCTAGATCCATTCCCACATATGTCCACCGAGTATTATAACTGTATCCATCCACCCTCCCCTTCCCATCCATCTGTCACCTCCCCTTAATTCTCCGCTCCTCTCAGACAAGAAACTGTTTCAGCTTCCCAATCATCATTTTGTTACTCTCTGTTAATTGTTCAAAGTGAATACACCATAGAAATCCACCACTTCATATACTATGCTTTAGTCAGTTTCATCATGTCTATGTGCATATCACATATATGTTTGTTTTTTTGTTTGTCAGTCGTGGGGCTTGAACTCTGGGCCTGAGAGCTGTCCCTCAGCTCTTCAGCTCAAGGTGAGCGCTCTACCACTTGAGCTACAGCGCTCCTTCCCATTTTCCAGTGGTTTATTGGAGATAAGAGTTTCACGGACTTTCCTGCCCGAGCTGACGTTGAACCGAAATCCTCAGATCTCAGACTCCTGAGTAGCTAGGATTACAGGCGTGAGCCACGGGTGCCCAGCTCACATATATGTTTTCATATATGTTTGAGTTTTAGGTCTGACTGCCACTTATAAGGGAAAATGTGCCCTTTGTCTCTCTGAGCCTGACTTCACTAAATATGAAGTTTTTCCAGGTCCACACATTTTCCTGCAAATGACATAATATTATTCTTCCTGGTGGATGAATTGAAAAATATGTACACATGCTGGGCGTTGGTGGCTCACACCTGTAATCCTAGCTACTCAGGAACCTGAGATCTGAGGATCTCAGTTTGAAGCCAGCCCAGGCAGGAAAGTCCGTCAGAGTTTTATCTCCAATTAACCACCAGAAAACCAGAAGTGATGCTGTGGCTCAGGTGATAGAGCACTAACCTTGAGCTGAAGAGCTGAGGGATAGTACCCAGGCCCAGAATTCAAGCCCCACACCCCCAAAAATGGGAAAAAATGTATACACATATACATACACATATATAAATGTATACATATACATACATATCCCTCATTTTCTTGATTCATTCATCCATTGTAGGGCATCTGGTGATGATTCCATTACTTAGCTGTTGGGAATGGTGTTACAATGAATTCTGTACAGGAAGCCTGGATTTTAGAAAGAGGACTAATATACTGCATCATCTTGGAGAAGGCACTTGGGAAAAAATGAAGAGAATCATGTCAGTGTATTGGACCTTTACTTACTTTGGAGTAGGGGGTGATACTTATGCAATAACTTTGTATTATGTTCTGCTTAAATTCTCAGAGCCATTCATAGACCATTAACAACATATTTTTTTAAAATATAATTTTGTTGTAAAGGTGTTGTACAGAGGGATTACAGTTACACAAGTAAGGTAATGAGTACATTTCTTGTTAAATATTGTCACCCACTCCTTTGTTTTTCTTCTACCATCCCTCTCCTGCTGCTCCACCCCCCCCCTCAAAGTTGTAAAGTTTATTTACCACATAGCGTCTTGTGACTATCACTGTTGCCCTGGTTCACTCCTTGTCCTTGTGTCACCATTTTTATGATTCCCCTTCCCTTCCCCAAATCAGATAAATGTATATTCAAGTCTCAAGGTACCAGAATAAAAAAAACAGTGACTACCAGGATTAAACCAAAGGGAAACGTATTTTTCATAAAGAGAAATGTAGTATGCAGGGCCTGGGTGCTGTCACTGAGCTTTTCTCCTTAACGCTAGTGCTCTCCCACAGCTTTACTTCTGGTTTTCTGGTGGTTAATTGTAGGTAGATAAGAGTCTCATGGACTTTCCTGCCTGGGCTGGCTTTGAACCATGCTCCTCAGAGCTCAGCCTGCTTAGTAGCTAGGATGGATGACAGGCGTGAGCGCTACTGGCGCCTGGCTGCAGAATGGTTTTTTAACTGTGTTTCACAGTGAATTTCTTTCCCCACATAGAATGAGCACAGGGAGTCCAGGTTGAGAAATGCTCCAGTAATTGTTAAACTTACTCAATTTATCATTGCTATTCTATCTCTCGGTACTGATGCAGTAACCCTGAAAGTTCATTAGCTATAGTCACATGTATATATATGTACACACCTTTAGGTAGGTGCCTGTTTACCTGCATTCGTATAGAGTGGTTTAGGTCTTTGTGCCCTTCTACAGAGCAGATATGTCAGGGTCTGTGTCACACTGAGGGAGCAGGTTCCCTGATGGAGAGCTCTTCTGTACCACTTACTACCACCTCTAACATCAAGAATTTAAGTCCACAGATGTTGATGTTTTGGACATTGTCTTACATTGTGCAAGCTGCAGTTGTATATGGAGTTTGTGGCTGCTCCGCTGTGACCTGAGATTTAATTGAAACCATCATTGTTGGAATGCTTGAAGGAGGTGCTAGTTTACAGCAAGGGAGAAGAGTGTCAAGAAAGTTCTCCACATGGGAGGGGGAGTGTGGAGGGGGGAAGAGTGTAGTTGTGGAGGTGGAAGGGAAGGGTTGATAGGGGAAAAGCAAAGGAGGAGGTAACAATGCTTGATAGGAGATGTACTCATTACCTTGCTCATGTAATTGTAACCCCTCTGTACAGTATTTTTACAATAAAAAACTTTTTTTTAAAAAGAAAGTTCTCCATGTATTGAAAGGAACCAGCCAAATAAGTTCGTAGGGATCTAGAAGTGTGGAGCAGGGTTTGTCTTTTTCTTCTTTCCTTTTTTGAAATTTACATTTGCTACCCTGGGGGTTTGACTGTCTAATCTCACTGGATAGTCAGACAAAAGGCGAGGGAAGTATACTGTGTGTAAGCAGTGTAAACCTCACGCACAGGTGTTGGTCACTTCCCTGCCCTTAGCTGTCAGTTGTCTAAAAATAAACACCGCAGGAGCTCCCTCCTCACTTCTTTTTCCTAGTTCTTGTAGTGAGAGCAGGAAACTATCCCTGGAAGGACTAACTGGGATTCTAGCTGGCACACTGTAGCCACACACTAGCATGTTCATTTTTGGTCAATGAAGTACATGGAAAATCTCCAACTTTGAGATCAAGGTCGAGACCTCTTTCATCAAGGATACTCTTGGGAAAGCCATTTGTACTGTGGAGAGCATGAGGATATGATGGAGAAAATGGTCATCCGTAGGTGTGTACTGTGACTCGGTGGGCCTTATGGACAGGGAGAGGAGGGAGAATGACAGCATTGCAATGGGACATTATTTTCAAGCAGAATAACTAGGAAATCCCACAGTACATTGCACACAGTAGTGGTAAGTATTGTTTGATGAGAATCTATAGATATGTGTGCACAAGCTGAACTGGGAATTTTTTGTTTTGGACTAGACTATGGGTCCAGTCAAAATGAGTTGAGGAGCACACTTTAGCTCTTTGTCACATACTTTTGGGATTCTAAGTCTGGCCCCTCAAACCTTGCACTTTTCTGAAGATTAGAGCTATGACTCTTTTTGGGAACTGTTCAACTATTTTGACATGAGGAGATACAAAGCAGAAGTGGAAGCTAGGTGTCTAAAAAAATTAAGGAGTGATGTATGACTAAGTCTCTGGAGGCAGATAAAACTAGGGAGAAAGAACACCGAGTATGTGTGTGTGTGTGTGTGTGTGTGTGCGCGCGCGCGCGCGTGCATGTATTAGAATTTTAGGGCTTCAGATTCACTGGAGTACAGAAAGAAATGCTTCTTTGTGTGAACAATTGCTAATAAAATGTGCTATATGTTAAATTAGGGAAAGCTGGTTGTAACTCCAAGGCTGAAGACTTAGACTGAGAGCTAGAAACCAGAAATCATGCAAACTGCTTTTTTTTTGTTCTCTGTTCTCAGGGAAGGGGACTCTCTTTAACCACATACAGGGACTCTGTGAAAGGAATAAAGCTTTTCTGGAAATTACAGAGGAGGACCCAAAGTGTACAGATCCAAATTGTGTCCATCTGACTGAAGAGTGCAATTATTTCTCCCACCCTCTCTTTTAGGATACTTGCTCTATTTCCAAATGCCATAGTTCGAAAATTACTGCTGATGCTGATATTTAGCTTAGTTTTATGGGTCCTTTACTTGTCTTCTGGAGACTACAAAAAGGTAAGAATTTCTTTTTTTGGAATTTCACCAGTTACAATAGCATCACTTGAATGACCTGTTATAAAGGAATCAAAGTTAAAAGTATCATTTCAGCAAGATAATGTACACGAGAGTGCTCTTTGTTCAACATTAATCTCTTTTTACTATGTTTTGGAGGCACGTTCCTGTGCTTTTAGTATCTCCACCAGTTGTCCTGGTTCATCAACCTGTTTGGCCGTTGAGACTTTAATCCAATTAAGCCCACTCTCATCTTTGCTTCCTTTCACAGTATTTGTTTTATGCTCCTTGGAGTCCAGCTTGCATTTCTTGCATTTCTCCCCTCTGCAGTCTCTCATTTGATCTTATTTCCATTTTGCTTCTTCCGAACCACTGAAAACATTTTTTTGTTTGTGTGTTGTCCTCTTTATTCTATTAGCTTATATGCGTTACAGAGGATTTCATGGTTACATTTCCACACCTGTGTACCATATGTTCTGATCTCTTGATTTAATATTAAAAACAGCTTTACCCCCAACCTCTTTCATGCCTCTTATCCTGCTTGATTTCCTTTTATTTTTCAATACTACTTCTCATTTCCTGTTATTCTATATAATATATTTAACTATTAATTATCAGACCTGTTAATGATTATCATCAATCTACCACCTATCTAATATGTCATCTATCATCCATTTTAAATATGGAACACTTCACAGGTTTGGGTGCCATTCTTGCCCAGAGACCATTCTCATCTTTCTGCATGGCTCCAATTTTAGCATATTGCTGCCAAAGCAGGCACTTCTGATATTCATCGATTACCATCAATCCTGACCTATAGTAAGATATCTCCCAAGAGGCAAGATATGGTTATATATTTATTTGTTGCTGTAACCCTAACGCCAAGGACAGTGCCTGACCCATCCTGGATATTTAGTAAATAATTATTAAAAGCCCAACAACTCAGTGATTTGAGCTAGATGAGAGGCAATAGTGACCAGAAATAAAGTAATAATAACGAGAGGGGAGAAAGGCTGAGGAAGTGAAGATAGAATTTGTACCCAAATGCAATGATTTCATATCTTGGTTAAGTGGTTAAGAATCACAACTGGGAAATAGAAGAATGGGAAGAAATTTATTATCTACTTCAGGTAAGTGTACTGGGCTTATTTTCAAAGCAACTCTACTCCGGAACAAAGGCATGATGGAGATTTTGTTCAGGAATATACTCATATTGACATCCAAAAGCACTAGTAGGGGCAGGCACATTTCTGAGCATGCTCAGTTGAAGGTATACATTTCAGAGTCTGCTAAGTAGAAGGTCATAGTTGACATGTTGATAAGAGAAAGCTGATTGACACAAATACCCTGGACGTGCTCAGTTCAGAGTTTACACTGGGTTGTCTGAAAGAATGAGTCACGATGACTGGAGGACTTTAGCTGCTTCCTTGAAAGTTTTTCCAAAAAAATATTTTTAGCTGAAACAAAGGAGGGGCCAGCTTGTTTAAGATGGGGGAGTGGGGAAGGATGGTAGCTTTCTCCCCCATCAGTGCAAGAGCTTGCATCTTTAGTGCCAGCTTGTGTGACGGTTTACAATCCTAGCACGTGAGAGGCTAAAGGAAGGTCGCCAGTTCAAGACCAGCTTGGTGCTACATAGTGAGGCACCGTTAGAGCAACAATAACAAAAGTAAATGAAATGACAAATAAGGGTGAATCCTTGATTCAGCAGCTAAGAACTAACAAATTCGCCCTGAGACTTTTGACTCCTCGTTCTTGAGGTGTTTGGGGAAAGATGTCATTCTTCTAAGGCTACTTGCTGCTGACTGTGGTCACGCTCTCCTGAAGCCAGCAGACTGGCTGGTGCTGACACAGGGTAAGTCTCAAGCTCCTTAGGCAAAGTTTCGTAACTTGAATTCCCATTGCTAACACTGTCCCGGGACATTTTCATGCACATCTAATTTCAACATACATCCTGAAGAAGATCAGCAACAGGGATGTTGTTCTTTTTCTTTTCTTTTTTTGAATTTAGCCCCCAAAATAAAGGCTTAGTGTTTTGAAGAATCCAGGTCAAAACACAGATAAGAAATAGGCCAATGAAAAAGAGGGGGACAGAGGGCTTACTTGCTGTTTAAAGTAGCAGGCAAGTCCTCTTAGTTACAATACAACTGAACTTGGGCAGATAGATTAAAAATACATAAGCAGAGACCAACCAGAAGAACAGGGCAAAAAGGTTACCCATGATTGACTCCTTCTGATTGGCTTTAGTGTGAATTCTAGTTCTGCTAACTGGAGTAGGCAGAGTTCTCTGAATCTTTTGGTTCCTGTGTCCCCTTTAGCTTGGTATAAGGAATTAAGGGAGTTACACCTGTTCATGGAAGGGAAGAGTTAAGGAGTTAGTAAGATTAAATGTGACCCTGGATTATGCTGGTCACAAGGGGACTCTTACGTTCTTTTAAAATATACCAACCCCTTGTATCCTCAGAGGGGAATCTTATTTCTGTAGGAAAAAAAGTTTTAGGTTTACATACCTCGTAAGGGCACATATAATGGGCCTTTGATTGATTGTGTGTTTTACTGCTGGTTTAACTTCTACATAAAAGTATATTTTAGAATGAGTTCCCCCTGGAAAGAACCTTTCATACAACCTAAAGTGGTTGGCCTGACTATAAAATCCACCTGCCGGTCTCCCTGGCCTCCTGTCTAACCTGAATTGCCTTTTATAACAGGGGTGCAAGTGGCCTTGTCTGAATGGTTTTTTGTGTTTTTCTTTTTAGTTGGATTTCTATACAAAGTTTTGTTTGTTTGATCTTTTTTCACACCTGGCATCTTTATTACTTTAAAAAGCCAGTTGTGTAGAGTGTGGTTTTTTTTTTCATAATGAGTTGAGTTGAACTATGGTCAAATTTAATAAATTTCCCAGCCCAACTTTTTGACAATCAGACCTTCATCCACTCCCAGGAGACAAGAAACACTCAGAAGCTTACATCCCTTGCCTTTCCTTTGTTTTCTTTTACAATACCTTCCTTCAAGTAGGAGGGATTAGATTTGTAGAGAGACAAGGTGGAGAAAATCTCCACAGCAGGAAAGTCTCCACAGAAAAGGCTGCATGTCTAGGTGCTGCATGGTTTTGTTTTTATTTTCCCCTTTGATGCTCTCTGAAGTATATAGCAGCTACATTTTTAGGGTCATTTAAGTATCTTTTTCTCTCTTTTTGTGGTACTTGGAATTGAACTCAGGGCTTTGAACTTGCAAGTCAGGTCCTTTACCACTTGTGCCATGCCTCCAGTTCCTTTGTGCCTTGGTTATTTACAAACTCCGGTCACACTGTATGCCTGGGTTGGTTTGAGTTGTGACAAGCACACACTACTGTACCCAACCAGTGGTTGAGATGAAGGCCCAGGAACTTCACCTAAGGACTGGCCTTGAACTGCTATTTGCCAATCCTTACCTCCCAAGTAGCCAGCATTACAGAGTTGAAGGCACATCTGGAGAGCAGGAAGATAAAAAAAATAAATCTGTTCTTTAAACATAGCCTTTTGTAGTGCTTATTATATCTGTGAACATTATGCAATAAAATATAGGTATTGGGAACTACAGGACTTTATGCGACTTTGCTGCCCATATGTCTTGTACAAGTCTGTATTTTCCTGTTCCCTCTCCCTCTGTCTGTCTCTTCCTCTCTCCCTCTCTCCCTCCTTCTCCCTTCCTTCTCTCTCTCTTTTTTTCCTTTTCATTTTCTTTCTTTTTTCTTTTTGTATATTGAGGGGCTTGAACACAGGGCCTTGGCACTGTTCCTGATCTCTTTTCCTCAAGTCTAGTGCTCTACCACTTTGAACCACAACTCCACTTATGGTTTTCTGGTGGTTAATTGGAGATAAGAGTCTCACCAGGACTTTCCTGCCCAGGCTGGCTTTGAACTGTGATCCTCAGATTGTAGCCTTCTGAGTAGTTAAGATTACAGGTGTGAGCCACCGGTGCCTGGCTCCTTATTTCTTATCTGGCAGGATATAAATATTATTTAATAAGATCTGCAGGGTCTTAATAAACTTCGTTTAGAAAGCTGGTCAAACACAGGCCTCATTATGTCAAGGCTCACAAACCTTAAGGGATGTTTGCTCAAGAGAAACAGTTAATAGGATTTAAGATGAGTTACATTTTTTACTCTGAGAGTTCACTCCACCTAGTCTTTTTTTTTTTTTTTTTGTCGGTCATGGGGCTTGAACTCTGTGCCTGAGTGCTGTCCCTAAGCTCTTCAGCTCAAGGCTAGTGCTCTACCACTTGAGCCACAGCACCACTTCCAGTTTTCTTAGTGGTTTATCGGAGGTAAGAGTCTCACAGAGTTTCTTGCCTGGGATGGCTTTGAACCATGATCTTCAGATCTCAGCCTCTTGAGTAGCTAGGATTACAGGGATGAGCCACCGACACCTGACTCCACCTAGTCCTTATCCCTGGGTTTCTGGCTGGTCTTGAGTCAGGACAGTCTCTGGTGCTGTTGGCATTTCATGGCATAGTGTCATGAGCACAGACCCACAACTCTTTAGGAATTTGCATTTCTGAAGATGAACAGTTACTTGGCGTTTGGTTAATAGATATATTTCTAAGAGGGAGATGTGGCACTCAGGAATGTGTGGAAGTGAGCACCTTCAAGTCTCTGCGTCCATTCCACAAGTGAGAGGCTTGAAAAATCATTTAGTTTCTCCCCTTCTTGGCATCTTTCTTATGGTATTTGTGTTTCTGGTCATTGCCATTTTCAGTAACCAGACTCTGTGGCTCTGGTATTGAGTAAAACTCAATTTCTTCTTTAGCTATATCTACAGTAAGGCAAGATCCCTTAGCAGAATTTGGGGTTGTATTCAAGAGCGCAGTGGGGCACCTCGAGGCCACACCAATCGCTCTCTCTAGGAGGGAACTAAGTTAGGCACAGTGCAAGGCTGAGCCCTGTGGTATGTACCTTTCATCCCCGTGACAAAGGAAAGCTCAAATAGGAGGATCACAGTCCAGACTGGCCAGGGCATAGAATGAGACTCTATCTTGAAAATACTCAATGAGAAAAAGGACCAACAGAGTGGCTTAAATGGTAGAGAGTCTGCACAACAGTTACAAGTCCCTGAATTCAAACCCCAGTATTGCAGAGAGAGAGAGACAGACAGACAGACAGATAGACAGACAGACAGAAAACAAAAGGAGTCCTGTTGGTCCCCTAACTTACTGCTCAGGGAACAATTTGAATATTCCATTGTCTTTCTGGCTTGAAGAAAGTTCTACCCGAGCTTCACTGGGCTTGTGGAATGCACACTGAAGGCTGGGATTCTTACCCAAGGAGTTAAGGGGAGTGAAGTGCAGCTGCTAATAAGGGTGTCTGTCTGCCTGGTCTGCTTCCTTGCCTTTTATCTTGTTTTCTTCTTTGGACAAGCCTCTCTTGTTGAGAATCTTGGATGTACTTCCTTGAAGTTGAGACCCACAGCCAGGTCTCTATATTAGGATCACCATCATTACTTATAAACCTTTTTTTTTTTAACTTCATCCAAATGTTTAGTCTTGTTCTTTTTTATTTTAATCATTTTACTATAGGACAAAAACCTTATTTTATCATACAGTCTTTTTTTCAAATTTAAAAGCATTTTTATACTTATAACTTCATACATTTCCCCCTCCCCACCTCTTCTTTTTCTTTTTTCCCACAGTTGTTGGGCTTGAGCAGGCCCTGGGCACTGTCCTTGAATTTGTTTGTTTGTTTGTTTGTTTTCTCAAGGCTAGTGCTCTACCTCTTGAGCCACAGCTGTACTTCCAGCTTTTGGGGGGATGGTTAGGGAGATAAGATGCTTAGGGACATTTCTTTGAGCTGCAATCTTCAGATCTCAGCCTCCTGAGAGCGAGGATTGCGGTCCCGAGTCATCAGCACCCAGCTCTTCGTACCTCTTTATCTTCTGATTACTGTTTCTTTTCTTGTCTTGTTTTCTTTCTTACATTTTGAAGCCTGGTGTGGTGGGTCATATCTATAATCACAGTAATCAAGAGGCAGAGGTAAGAAGATGCTAAGTTCAAGAGCAGATTTGGCTACATAGTGAGAACCCATTTCAGAGCAATATATGTTTTTAAACAATCTGTACAAAATTTCAAATGTAGACATATGGGAATTCTAATTCCCTTTGCCACTTTGCTTGTTAATGATGACTCAGGAAGAAAGCAATTTTAATCTGTTTTACCTTGTTACAAAAACACATTTATCAGTAGGCCCGCATGCATCATTTTTACAGAATCTAAGAAGCCAAGTTTATATTTAGCAAGCAGTGCTTCTGTATTTAATTTAACTTGCTTAGAAATACTCGGATGTTTTATATTTATTACATAACTTTCAGACATAAATTACATGAAGAGTACACTTTTAACATGTATCTCCTTTACATGTACCTTATTTGCTTTTAACATTACTTCTAAATTATGCTTGAAAAACAAAGTATCAGACAAATGAAAAGCATAATTTGGGTGCTTTTTTGTTTTCTGTGCTTGTGCTGATAGTAAGGCTTGAACTCAGGGCCTTGGCACTGTCTCTTAGCTTTTGCCACTCCAGGCTAGTGTTCTACTACTTGGCCACAGCTTTTTGGTGGTTAATTGGAGATGAGAATCTCACAGACTTTGCCGTCCAGGTTGACTTTGAGATTCAATCCTCAGATCTCAGTCTCTTGAATAGCTAGGTTATTTTTAAATTAATTTTTTATCACCTTTAAGTAGTTGTACAAAAGGGTTTTCATTCAACAAGTATATTGAATTCAGCAAGTATGATACCAATAAGTGCAGTGTATCTTGGCCAGTGTCACCCCTTTCATTGTTCTTCTCTCATCTTTCCCAACTCTACCCATTCCCTCAGATTATTTTAAAACATCTTTTATCTTCCTTCCCTCCCTCCCTCCCTTCTTTCCTATTTTGGAGGAAGTGGTGTGCGATATTGGGGTTTTGACAAGGGTTTCATGTTTGCAAGACTGTTTGCTAGACTGGTGCTCTACCACTTGAGCCATATTGCCACCCTTTCCTTGCTTTAGTTATTTTTCAGGTAAGAAAAGTGTGGCCTCAGATCAGGATCCCCCCTATCTCTGCCTCCTGCTTAGTTAGGATTGCAGTGATCTGCCAGCATGCCCAGCCTTCTGTGTCAGATTATGTTTTCTTGATGGAATAATACAAAATCAGTTAAAACAACAACAACACAAAAACAATGGTCATGGAAATTATATGAATATAATTGAAATACTTAAAAGTACATGATGCTAGTTGTAAGACCATAAGTGAAAACTAATTAGAATTTATTTCTGATACCTAATTTTATCACACTGAAAGACATTATGTGATTCATGCTAATTTACTTTGAGAAGCAAGTCCTCTTGTCTGCTGGTAATAAATATAGTCATTTTCCCTCAATCCTTCAGCTCTTGATCCACTGGAGAAACCCAGTTGTTCTGAAACAGTGGAGTGTCTTTAAAAAGTACTTGAGCTGTGAAGACACTCAGAGTCCAGAAGTCTTCCCAACAGATACTGAGCTGAGTGTCATGGAGATCGTAGAAAGACTAGACCAGATGATCCCACCCAGACCCTTCACCCACATGACCACCACCACCAGTGCCAAACACAGCAGAGCCGTCATCCTCAACCCTCAAGACACGTACTGCAAGGGGGATCAGCTAGACATCCTTCTGGAGATGAGGGACCACTTGGGACATCGGAAGGAATATGGCGGGGACTTCCTGAGGGCCAGGATGTCCTCCCCAGCCCTGAAGGCAGGTGCATCGGGAAAGGTGACGGACTTCAACAACGGCACCTACCTGGTCAGCTTCACTCTGTTCTGGGAAGGCCAGGTCTCCCTGTCGGTCATGCTCATCCACCCCAGTGAAGGGGTGTCTGCTCTCTGGAGGGCAAGGAACCAAGGCTATGATCGAATTATTTTCAAAGGTAAATTTCTTAATGGCACCTCTGAAGTCATCACTGAATGTGGTCTGGCCTTAAACTCGAGTGCTGAGCTGTGCCAGTACCTGGATATTCGGGACCAAGAAGCTTTCTACTGTGTGAAACCACCATATGTCCACTGTGAGGCCTTCATTTACATGAGCACCAGAAATAGACACATTTCCTATCTTAGCAAGGAGGAATGGAATCTTTTCAACAGGTAATCATCCTTCATATAGAAACAAGGGATACACCAGAGAGGGACTGGTTCAAACCGAACTCAATCTAAAGTTTTTTTTTTCTAGTTTTTTTAAATAAGTTTTTTATTGTGAAAATACTGTACAGAGTGGTTACAATTAGATGAGCAAGGTAATGAGTACATTTCTTATCAAGCATTGTTGCCTCCTCCTTTGTTTCTCCTTCCCATCCTTCTCCTGTCCCCCCTACAAACTCCCCCCCAACCCCCCCACCCCGCACAACCAAAGTTGTAAAGTTCGTTTTTCAACCTAACAACTTGTACATCTCATTGTTGCCATGGGTCCAATTGTATCCCTATTTAAACGATTTGTTTTTTCCCTTCCCCTCCACAAATTATACCAACACCAAGTACACTGAAAACGAGTAATACCATGGGGGAGAAATCACCTTATAAATACGTTAGAAACAATATCAAGAAAGAAAAAACCATCTGTGTCCTTATCTTGGAGTTCATTCCTCCTAACATCATCTTATCTGACCTTGTCTGCTTGTCTCAGACAGATACTAGTTATTGCAAATAAGGGAAACCATGGGACCTATGTTTCTTTGGGCCTGGCTTACTTCACTTAATATAATGTTTTCCAAGTTTTTCCATTTCCTAACAAATGGGGCAATGTCATTCTTTCTGAGGGAGGCCTAGAATTCCATTGTGTTTGTATACCACATTTTCTTGATCCATTCAGTCTAAAATTTTGTCTACTCAAACTCCCCTTACATTGTCAATTCTGTGGCCTAAGTTAAGGGTAGCTCAGTCCTTCAGCATCACCTCAGCTGATGGTAAGTTTGCAGGTCTCGCATGTGTCACCTGTGGAACTACTTGCCAGTGAAATGCACATGTAGAGTATATACTTATTTTTCATGGTGCATAATACTTCCAGGTTTAGTAATTTTTATAATCAAATGTTCCCTCCAATGTGTTCCATGGGAGCTACTTTTATACACTGTTAATGGATGCTGTGCCCAAAAGGTAAATAGTATCATTATTCAGGTCACTCAAATAATTATCCAGTTCTGCCAATCCTATCTCCTCATGGTCTCCTGAATGCACTCATCCTTTACTGTTACCTGTATCCTTGTAAAAATCATCATCAAACCTCAATTAGATTGTTACAACCATTTTCAGAGCTGGTTTATCTGCCTTCAGTCATATTTCTTTATATCTGTTGTCCATACTGTACCTAGATTAATGTTTTAAAAATGTGACTGCTTGTTCTTGTTGCTAAATTTGCAAGGTATCAGGTCATGGTCTGTCTTTAAACCGCACCTGGGATGGAGAAAGGAAAATACAGACTTGACTAGGCTCACTTTCCCCCTGAGACACATTTTAATCCTGTGCCACATATAGGTCCGATGGGACCCTCATGAAGAATGGTTGCAACTGGTGTTTGCAATGTAATTTTTTTGCAGTGACCCTCAAAGTAGTGTTCCAACATCAATGGCTTCAGCTTCGCCTCAGAGCTTCTTAGAAATCTAAATTCTTGGGCCTTACCCTCAAAATTATTAAATCAAAAATTCTGAGAGTAAGGTTCAGCAATCCAATTTATCCAATTACTTGAGATAATTCGGATGGAAGCACTGACCTACGGAAAGTTTCATCAAGACCAGAGTTATTACGGAAGGCAAAAGTATGAAAGGAGTGCTTATGGAAGATGACCACGTAGAGGGTGAAATTAAAGGATCGGTAGGTAGGTGGATGGATAGATAGATAGTTTTGATTGAGAGCAAGTGATATTATGGATTAGTCAGTGAATTGTTTTCCAAAGCACTAACCTAGTTACTTTCTTTGGAATATCTTAAATGTATCAAAATAATGACAAAAACATTTGCAAAGTGTTAACCTGAAGTTCCTTCCATCTAAACCAGATACTCTTATCTGATTATCTGGATGGATGTTAGGTTAATTCGTTTTCTCATTTCTTGAAGGTCCAACATAGGGATTGAAATGATGAAGAACTTGAACTCCATCAAGGTCTTACCATGTAATAGTAAGTCTAGTGTGCCCTTAAATGTATCTGCAAGTTATTTTTCAGTGACTATCTTACTTAGAGACATGTTTATTCTACATTAACCATTTAAAGCTTTAATTTTTCTGGGACAAATGAAATCAGCCACCTTGGGTTTCAAGTGAAAGATTTTATTCTTGGGAATTATTTTCAAATTTAAACCAATTTTCATCCAGAGTAAGAAATAAAAGACTAAGGAAACCATTCGTCAGCTCAAAACGTTCAGGATGTTTACATTTAAATTTAAGATTTATTCTCCAGAAGCTAATAGGTGGGTACTGGTATGACGTGAAAATAGCTTGAATGAACCATACAGATTCAGAGTTAGGAAATTTCTCTAGCAGGTTCTAATTTTTTTTTTTTAGCCAAGCTGTATCACATAAAAAGTTCCATGAACTAGCAATTTCTGTGGATTTTCTTTTTTAAGTTTTCTCATGTAAACTTTAGTGGTCAATATAGGCATTACATGCATAAAATGATGATTCTGCAACACTGCAGTTCAAATTACAACGCAGCAAACAACAATTAACAGCTTCACATTTACCTGTTAAGCTTTGTTCAGGTATTCAGCAAATGTTTACTGAGGATCTATTGTGCACAGAAAATTCTGCTAAACCCTGTGGAAAACATAGGTAGAAATAAATGGTGAGCCCAGACTAAAGCCCATCATGGGTGGAAATGACCCCTTTTCTGCCCCCAAGTGATCACCATCCGTCTCCAACTTTTACATCAACAAAGTTCCAGAATCTTTGGGCATCTTGAGTCTTCATTACATTGTTTTTGCTTCCTTTTCTACCTGGACAGTAATTTTTATTTTTAAAAAATCAGGAGTTTTTCTTACAAGATAGTACTAGACAATTAGTTTGGGGGATCACCAATAAATCTTACATTTATATGATGGATAAATGTGAGTTCCCCAAGCCTCAGAAATTCAGATCACATGGCCAAGATCTTTTTTTAGGTGGCAAACAGAAAAGTTTTTTTTGAATCTTACCAGGAGAAAGCTCATTTAGCTTGGGATATTTTCATAGAGGACCATTCAGAGGGAGGAGATAATGGTCCTGTTTATATATACTTACACACATATATCTGTATGCATATATGTATGTATATGCACAGCAAATCGATTTTGTATAAATATAATATCAAAATATTTCATGTGAATATAATATCAAAATCAATATATTTTATGTAAATATAATATCAATATCAAGATCTTGGTCCTGTTTATATGTACATACATATATCCACATGTATATGCACATGATATATACACACAGAAAATACATTTTATGTAAATATATTGGTAATGTAAATATATCAATAAATATACCAATATATTTTAGCAACATAATATATATTTATATGTAATATATTGTGGTAGAAGATATATATTATTGAGAAGACCATGTAGAAGGTAAAATTAAAAGCTAGGTAGGGGAAGTGGTGCTGTGGCTCAAGTGATAGACTGCTAGCGATGAGCACAAAGAGGCTCAGGGACAGCACCCATACCCTGAGTCCAAGCCCACAACTGACAAAAAAAACATAAAGGGTAGGTAAATGGATGGATATGCTATATGTGTGTGTGTGTGTGTGTGTGTGTGCCATATATAATGTACATTGTATACATATATGTATATACTCTCTATAGATTCTATGTATGTATGTATTCTGTATTGGTCAGACCATATAGAGAAAATTGTTTAGTTCTAGACACAGTTAAACTTTTAAGGTTTTTTTAATAGCCAGAAAACATGATATGATTCTGGTACATCCAGAATAAACCATCTGTGAGACTCTCTACATCAATGTGTTCAAGTTTCTTTCATGGATAAGTGGTGTGAGGAGGAAGGAACTCACCGTTTTGGTAAGGCCAAGGTCATGAGTGGGATACTCGGCTATATCTCTAAGCCTTGTGATTGTAGAGCCTCATGGTTCTCCCTGACTTTGAGTAGCTCTAGAGTCACGATGGAGTGGTCTTGGGAACTAGGGAAATATGTGACTACCCAAGAAAGAACAGATCCATTCCAAAGAAAACCATGGAGTGGAGCTTCTTATTCACTTGTAATTTTAGTAAGCAACTGTTTGCGGATGAACAAAGATAGAGGAGGATGAAAGGGAGAGACAGAAAGGAGGGCAAAGATGAGGAGAATTTCCCAAATAATCTATGATAATGCAAACTGCTGACAGTGGAAATTTTTGTTGCCAGAGACTGAGGACATAAAAAAGAAATGTCAGATTGGAATGAAGGCTCCTTTCCCCAGTGGGTACGCTTACAAAGGAAACTGGATAACAACATTTTGCAAACTAATGGAGTTCAATACAACCAAAAATATTCGTGACTGTTTGGGAAGAAAACTCATTTACCTCATGGGAGATTCAACTCTACGTCAGTGGATGTATTATCTACCCAAAGTTGTGGAAAGTATGCATTTTATTCTTATTTTGAAATCAGAGTTGACTTCTTTGAGGATTTTTACAAATAATAATAGAATTCTTTGTTGTTGTTGTTGTTGTTGGTCAGCTTGAACTCAGAACCTGAGTGGTGTTCCTGAGCTTTTACACTCAAGGCTAGCATTCTACCACTTAGAGTCACAGCACCCCTTCTGGTTTTCTGGTGATTAATTGGAAATAGAAGTCTCATGGACTTTCTTGCCTGGCTGGCTTTGAACTGTGATCCTCAGATCCTCAGATCTGACTAGCTAGGATTACAGGCATGAGGCAATGGTGCCCAGCTTAATTAGAATTCTTTGCTTTCCTTTTCTGATTTTCATCTTACTATTTTTAATATGCCAACTATTGGCTTTGGAGCTTTAATAAAAAGTTCAATTTGTCTTTGTAAAGTCACAGGTTATTTATTGAATTGAAACACCTCTGTACAGCTACTTCAGGATAATACAAAGAATAATAATAATTTTTAAAACCTTAAAAAATAAAGTCATAGATGTTAACACTTTCTTTTCTTCATGTATTTTGATAAGAAGTTCAAATTTTGGGGAAGGATTAACAGGATTTAGTAAAATTCTGTACCTTAACAGCAGCAACTCTTCATTAGAAATGATCTCAGAACTTCATAGCTGTTGCTTGTATTTTTAAATGAAATCATGTTATTTTTGTTAACTTAAAATTTATTCATTAATATCCCATCAGCCTTAAAGTATTTCGATCACCATGGAAGTGGGCCCTTTAGAACACATGTTCTTCTGGATATTGAAAGACATAGCTTGATCCAATGGAAAAAGCATAGTCATCCATTTGTTACTGAAAAGGTATTCTCCTTGAAAGATGAAAACTATATCCCACGGGAAATTGACCAGGTGGCAGGAGACAGTAACACAGCAATTGTCATTACCATTGGCCAACATTTCAGACCCTTCCCCATCAACACTTTCATCCGCCGAGCCATCAACATCAGAAAGGCGATTGAACGTCTCTTCTTGAGAAGCCCAGAGACCAAAGTGATACTGAAAACTGAAAATACCAGGGAGCTCCATATCAATGCAGAGCTGTTTAGTGACTTTCATGGTTATATTCAGAATCTTATCATGCGGGACATTTTTGAAGACCTTCATGTGGGTATTATTGATGTGTGGGACATGACAGTTGCACACAGCACTAATAATGTCCATCCACCTGATAATGTTGTTTGGCATCAGATCAGAATGTTCCTCAACTACATTTGCTAGAGGAAACATACAGAAAGCCAGCACGAGCTATTTCCTTTAGATAATCTCACACATGTCGCAAAGATAGATTATGTCATCTGAGGTAGAAAGAAAACAATTTTGGTTGTGTTTTTCTGGTACCAGGGTTTAAACTCAGCCTCACATTGGTCAGCTAGCTTGTTCATCTAGTTCTCTACCCCTTGAGCCACTCATATTCTGACTATCAGGCCTGTGTCTGATGTGTAGCTGGTAAAAATCTTCTCCCAGGGCTGGGAAGGTGGCTCAATGGTAGAGTGCTTGCCTTGCCTACATAAGGCCCTGGATTCAATTCCTCAGCACCACATAGACAGAAAAAGCCAGAGTGGTGCTGTGGCTCAAGTGGTAGAGCTGAAGAGCTGAGAAACAGTGCCCTGGCCCAGAGTTCAGGCCCCACAACCACAAAAAAAAAATCCCGTTCTGTAGGTTATCTTTTTACCTTGTTAGCTATGTCCTTACCATGCACAAACTTTTGAGTCTGATGCAGTCCCATTTATCAAGTCTTTCTTTGATTAGTTGTGCTTCTAGATCTTTACTTAGAAAGTTTTTTTTTTTTTTTTGGTCTGGTTGTGGGGCCTGAACTCTGGGCCTGGGCGCTGTCCCTCAGCTCTTCATCTCAAGGCTAGCGCTCTACCACATGAGCCACAGCGCCACTTCCAGCTTTTTTCTTTTTGCTTATGTGGTGCTGAGGAATCGAACCCAGGGCCTCAGGCATGCAAGGCAAGCACTCAACCACTGAGTCACCTTCCCAGCCCCTTGTCATTATATTTTAAGAATAAAATGATCAAATATAGCCAAAATAAAATCAATAGTCCAGATAAAACTCTTTATCTGACAAAACTGTAATCTCTCTTTACATCATCTTTACAATAAAAATTAAAAGTGCAAAAAATCATAATATATAATGCATGTTAAAAAAGTTATAGTATAAAGAAATAGAAAACCATATGACACAGCAAACTGCTGAACTAAAACAAGAAGTTTATCTCGGAAAAAGTAAATATTCAAAAAGGAGATTTTCAGTGGACTTATCATTTGAAAAGGAGGCTTATATTTGTGTAACAATATAAATATTTGAAATAACACAGAAAAATAAAAATTCACATAGAATAGCCCTAAGACACAAAAATTTAATATGTAAAGGACAAATCTTGAATGTCCCTAAGAATGAAATGGCTGCTTGGAAGGCAATATAGTAATAAATTTCCCTTCACTGGAAATTCAAAGATGGCTGAGAATGACTTAATGGTCAAATTTGAAAATGAATTATAACATTGAATATCTAGATGGGGCAGATTACCACTGCAGTAATTTCAATAAGAAATTATATGACATATATATCATATATAAGACATATATATGACATACATATTATATATATAGATATATATATGGCTCACTCTTGCAATTTAGGTACTCAAAAGACAGAGATTTGAGGATTACAATTCAAAGCCAGCCAAGGCAGAAAAATCTATGAAATTCTTATGTCCAATAATTCAGCAAAATATCAGAAGTAGAGGTGTGGCTCAAGTGGTAGAGCATCAGTGAGCAAAAATGCCAAGTGAAAGTGAAAGATGGTAAGTTCAAGTCCCAGTACCAACACACACACACACACACACACACACACACACACAAAGGACAGAGTTCCTGAACAAGGATGGACAAGAGAGCAGACTAGAAGCATCTACTGTTTTTAACTCTGTGAATGAGAAGAATCTGATGACATAAAAGTAACTTCATTCTGAAAAAGAAAAGAGTAAAAGGAAAAAAATCACAAAAAGGCCACCGGGATCCAAAAGAAAAGCAGTTACAGAAGAGAAAAAGTGTGGAGGGGTTTAGAGCCAGTGCCCATGTCCTAGAGCACAACAGGTGGCATCTTGAGAAGGTGCTGCTGGGTACCAGGGACAAGGAATAATAACAGCTTAACAACCCAGAGCCACTTTGCCATTAAACATGGGTATAAATCAGTTGTAAGAGGGGTATGAGGAATGGGCTTAGTCTCTGAAAGAGACCAGCAGGAAAATTTAAGCTATAATAAACTGTAATAAAAAAGCCAGAAGCTGGAAAAGCCCATTGTTTAGATACGCAGAGATGGAGGATTGGGAGCTGGGAGTTCCCACACAGCTAAGAGCACAGGCACTTGGAGAGTAGATTTAGTTCCCACTATGTAAAGAGTTGAAGCAGGCCGGGACCGGTGGCTCACACCTGTAATCCTAGCTACTCAGGAGGCCGAGATCTGAGGATCGCAGTTCAAAGCCAGCCTAGGCGGAAAAGTCCGTGATACTCTTATCTCCAATAAACCACTAGAAAACCGGAAGTGGTGCTGTGGCTCAAGTGGTAGAGCACTAGACTTGAGCTGAAGAGCACAGGGACAGCGCCCAGGCCCAGAGTTCAAGCCCCACGACCAACCAAAAAAAAATGGTCTAATATTACTTCCCATTTCATTTTTTACATTTTGTTTCTCCCTCTCTTCTTTGTGTTCATAATCATCATACTTGAATCCTAATACCTGCCTTTCAATGATCTCTTTCAAATTATAGTATCGAAGCCTGCCCTGGAAGAAAAGTCCTTAAGACACTTATTGCCATTAACCACTAAGAAAAAGCCTGAAGTAGTGCTGTGGCTCCTCCCCATTTATACTCTCCTTCTATCTACAAGTGGAACTCTTGTTGTACTCATATTCTCTCCTATTTCTTCTTCCCTATTCCCAATATTTCCTCATTATCTAAACTCATATCTGGTAACTATGTAGAAGCTAGACCTAAAAGACATAGACATGAATACACACATATATAATTATATATGCACACATATACATACATACATACTTACATACACAACTGTATACATAAGCAAATCGTAGGTAGATAAAAATGCATGGATAAACATAGAACATGAAAGGACTACTAACTAAGAGACTACTTAGGAGAAGAAAAGGAATGTGAGGGCTGGGAAGGTGGCTCAGTGGTAGAGAGCTTGCCTTGCATGACTGAGGCCCTGGGTTCGATTCCTCAGCACCACATAAGCAAAAAGAAAACAGCCAGAAGTGGTGCTGTGGCTCAAGTGGTAGAGCGCTAGCCTTGAGCTGAAAAGCTGAGGGACAGTGCCCAGGCCTAGAGTTCAGGTCTCACGACCAGCCCCCCCCCCAAAAAAAAGAAAGAAAAGGAATGTGAAACAGAAATGGAGGCTGAAAAAACATGAAATACATTTCAACTACATATGAAAATAACAAAATGAACCTCAGTGAAAGCCGGCAAGGGGGATTGGGCTAACAAGAATGAAAGGGAACAGATATGGTTGGAATAGATTGTCAATATGTATGTCAAGTAAGGAGTATAGGAGATAAGGAAGAGTAGGAAAATAGATTGGATTACATTGTATTCAGTGTGAGACTCATAATAATAATCACAACAATCATAATAATCATAATATCACCCCCTGT